GGGAGGGTAGGGGTATGCAGTGAGCAAGCCATCATTCTAGGCCTCAGAGCAAGAGAACCATACTTTCATCTTTCTTTAGAGAGGCTTCCAACAACTGGAATGTTCTTGAATGTTCTCAAATCCTCTCCAGTGCTGTGTCATTGAGAATGAAGAAAAGAAACCGAACAACCATTTTTATTTTTATTTTTTTCCCTCTGCTTACACACTGTTCTGACTCAGATCTTGCCCAGGTAGACGTGAGGACACACCCTGACAGCTCAAATCTGCACACAGCCACAGCTGAAGTCCAGCTTTGGCTGTAATATTAGGTAAGTGAGTCAGTTTGTAATGCAAAGAGGCCAACATTATGCTGGCTGCTCAGATCAGCCGGGACCGTTAAGCAGAGGGAAGCTCTGTCAAAGAAGGGGAGACCCCCTTAGCCTCTCTGCCCTAACCTGGCCCAGTTGGTCTTAGGGTCCCTGAGGGCTGCTGGGGCTTGCTCCAACGGAGCAGGGGGCTCCAGTATGTTATCAGGGAACTGAGGCTCAATGGGAGATTTTTGGTCCCCACCCTCATATTTATCCAAGGAGAGATGCTTTTTTTAACCTGAATGGTCAATGCAGGTTCTGAGGGAAGGGCTTTGTTTCTGCTTTTATTTTTCATGTGTATGAGTGTTATGCCAGCATAAATGTAAGTGTACTCATGTTGTTCAATGCCCACGGAGGTCAGAAGAGAGCGCCAGGTTCCCCTGGAACTGCATTTACAAATGGTTGTTAGCTGCCATGTGGGTGCTGGGAATAGAACCCTGGTCCTCTGCAAGAGCAGCCTGTGTTCTTAGCCACTGAACCATCTCTCCAGCCCCTCTGCTTTCGTTTATTAAAGAGCTTTGTAACCTTGCAATGGACTATGAAAGAGAGGTGCATTGCCTGGGGTTGAGCAAATGTCAGCTGGAGTGTAGAACTGGTATTCTGAACAATAACTGGGGTGGCTTCTCTCTCTCCCTTTGGGCTTTGCTCTGATGTAAGAAGTGTTAGGTCCACTTGGAAGAAGGGAGACTTCTGATCTGTCCCCTCCTCACATACTCCAGATTCCTGGGCCATCAAAAAGAATGCACACAAGCCCACATTCTCAAAGTGGAAACTGAGAAGGGAAAAGATTATCTCCTTCTATGAAGAAAGAATGTACTTGTGATTTTACTGCATTCACTGTTACTGCTGCCCTCACCCTTAGCAACAAGGCTGCCAGGCCCTAGGCATAGGCCTTTAGCAGGCCCTGCTATAATGAATCTGTCATCCCAAGAAGTGGACATCTTCATCTGCTTTTTAACGGCGGTTGTGGAAGCTCAGGCTGTTCTTGGTCACTCAGCTGGCAAGCAAGGATCTCACCTTCTGTCTGCATTGCCACAGACCTCCTGGAGGCCTGGATGAGCCTGGGTTTCTGCCTAGTGCTCCCCTTGTGCTTTGGTGCCTCCTCCTGGCTGTGTAAGTACTACTCCTCAGCCAATGTTCTCTCTGTGAGGCAACTCTCCGCCTCATTGAATTCCTTCTCTTCTTTAGCTCAGCTCCCATCTTATCACTCCCAGAACTGATCAAAGCCAGAGGAGGAACAATATGGTGGCCCCTGGGAGCAGGAAGGCCCGCTGGGACCAGGTTCTTCTTAGCACTAGGCCTCACTTGGGTTATTCAGACTTGGGCTGAGGGGTGGGAATCCCAACCTCAGGTGGAGTGGCTGAGTTGGAGAGGTATACTGAGATCTGCTTTACTCCCAAATCCCAGCATAGCCATGACCCTGGCTCCTCTGGCTCCTTGGCAGCCATTGTGACTATGGATCTCAACCTAGCGAAGGGAGGTTGGGAAGGATTTTCTAGCTCCCTGGGGACCATGGGAACCAATGAAGTAGCACCTGAGGATGGGGCAGCCTGTACTGCAACATGTATACACACACTTATGCACACCCCTTAGTGCACATGTGTACCTCTTTCTCAGAGCCCCTGACACGCACCTGTAGCCAGATGCCCTCTGCCCCAGATACAGGAAGGGGCTACCTGGCTTCCACAGGTCTCTACTGGAGTGGAAGAATGTCCATAGGGAGAACAAGAAGAATAGCCCCTGTCACAACCATCCCCTAAATGAGACTCAGCAAAAAGTGACCTAGCAGACACCCAGACGTTATCAGGGAAATCAGAGAGGGGACTAGGTAGCAGAAGGAAGTGAGGGCCATGGAAGTTTTAGGCCTAAACAAAATAGAGAAGATGAGATGGGGAGGGAGTCTCAGAATACAAACATTCTTGGGGAAATGTTCAAGGCTGTATCATTTAGCTATAAGGTTTGAGGATCATTTTCTGTCCTTTCTAAGATGTGGTTCCTAGGATAGTGTCAGCAGGACAGGCTCCAGTGGGGTACATAGCTCCCTGGCATCACACAAAATGTGTATATATGCAAACAGATGCAAACATGAGAGAGAGAGAGAGAGAGAGAGAGAGATTGATTTTTGTCTTTGCCCAGGATAGCTGAACTTCCTGTGGGCAACATTGGAAAAGCCCTTTGTATAGGGTGGGGTTCCAGACCTGAGAGACACCTTGATAACAATGCTTGACCAGGTCAGGTAGTGAGCAGGGAAAAAAACAGTTGGGGTCAAGGTAACATGGAGTCTGAGAGGAAGAACATAAATGGTGACTGAGCATCTATCACCTGCCAGGCACTATGGGCATCACTAATCCTAATACTACTGTGGGTCTGAGTGAACCATCTTACAGATGGGGAGGTGTGGCTCCAAACAGCAGGGCTGGCATTTGAGCCCCAGAATCTTCACTGTACTGTCTGTTGCCAGTATTTTGCCTTCTGGGGGAATTTTGTAAAGAGTGGTCAGGGATCAAAGGTCCCCAGTTGAAGGCAGAGACAAAGAAGCAGAGAGGGACAGAGAAGCTCAGATAACATTCAATATACCAGAGCCCAGGAGAGACTGAACCATGGGAGCCTAGGGTTAAGGGGCAGTAGCTGGGTGGGAGGTTAGGGGTCCTGCTGGATGCAAAGGCTAGGTCTGGAGGTGAGGAGGAGTTGGTGACATACAAGGTGATTTCAGGCCTAGGTTGGCAGCCCCAAATGGCAGCCGGGGAAGCCGTGTGCCCTTACATGCTGCTTTAACCAGGATGGCAACACCTACCCAGAAGCTAGGATCTTTGGTTGCCACTATCGTTCTTGCCCAATTTATCTAGTCGCTGAAATGAAACCCTTTCTCCTGCTCCAGCTCCTGCCTTGGGAGAGACTCACAGAGGTGGGGAGAGAAGGGAGAGCCAGGCTGCTGTGCGGGGAGGGTGGGAGGAGCTCTCTTAGCTCCACCTTCCCGAGGTTCACTCCTCATCTTGCTTTATCTCTTTCACTTTATCCCATCCACCCCACACTTCACTGACTGGGTATTGCTGCTCTCCTGCCACTTTGCAGAAGGAAGCCCTTCAGCCACCAGGAGCTCCTGAGGAACTTGTTTCCCACGGAGGTCTCTGAGCATCCTGGAGCCACTCGCTGAACTCAGTCCTGGTACTGACCCAGAGAGGGATGGTGACCAGTCAGTCACCCAGCTGAAGAAAGCAGATTCTGAGTGGGACTTAATGGAGCTAGCTCTCCTGATTTGGATCAGGGCTCCTTTCCCTACAATGAATAACTCCTCTGTGGCTCTGTCTTCTGGAAGCCCTTTCTTAGAGCCCACTTTGAACCAGTCCTGCCCAGTTCTTTACCATGTATTGTTGGCAGATGGGGACAATGGCCGTTACATTAGTGTCCCCTCAGGTCCTATCTGGTCACCACTCTTCTCCTTAACATTTCTAATCCTGTTCCTGGCTCTTGGATGAAGAACCCACTGTCACCAGCCCTTTCTGTGCGGCATTGGGCAACTCATTTACAACCTCTGACATTCCCCTTGGCTCTCCCATTAGCAGGTAAGGAGATGGTTAGAGAAATTACGTGATTTGCAGGTCCTCAGACCTGGGCTTCTGCTAAACAGCCTAGTGTCTGAGGGGAGACATGGCTGGCCCGAAGCAGAAAGTTCCAGATTTTCTTAAACTCATGACTGAGTAGTGGGGGTGGCAGTGAGAGTGTGAGTAGTTCACAAGGATAAAGAAAATGTAAAGTGTAAAGAAAGAGAACATTAGTCCAACAAAAGCACATAGATTCTACCACACTGACTGGGAACCTGTGTGCTTCTCAGGACAGGGGCTGAGTAAACTTCTTTGCCTGGGAAGAATGGTAGAAGGAGAGTAGAGTGAGAAGCTTCCAATGTCATTGGAACCCTACTCTTAAAACACACCCCGTCCTTTAGATGTAAGTCCAAAGCATCTTACACAGTGTTCCTAGCACCCTAGGTATTTAGGGATATGTCGCTAGCCTAGATTCTGCTCTTTTGGCTCCAAGAGTAATATAATTGCATTTTTTTTTTTTTTTGGTGAAAGTACTGCATGTGGAAGGATTGGGTCCAGTCATAGCTCCCTGTCATCTGTAAGTGGCAGGACATTTGGGGGGGGGTGTGTGAATTCTGGATATAGAAGTACCTGGACACCTTTTTCTCAAGAGAGCAGTAGCCAGGTCCTGACCAGGAACTGCTGGTCTCACTCTAGCAAGAAGACTGCTCTCTCTTAGGGGTCTTTTCACTGGGTCAAGGCAGAGATCAGGCTGCCTGGGCCTGGGTGGCACTGTTGGGTTTTAGACCAGGGAAACCAGGGCCTCCTCTACCTCCTTCTCCCATTTCCCTGGGAGGCCAGAAGGTTTAGCCCTTCTCCTCAATATTAGAACTCAACCTCCCAGATCTTTGCTTCTCTTGAGGCTGGAGCAGCCCTGGTGTCTCAGTCTGCTCTGGGATTGGGAGCCGGGTGAGGGATGATGCCAAGCATCTTCCTACCTCTTATAGGTCTCTATGACAACTCAGCCCCACACTTTGAACCCAGCCAGGCCTGGAGGACCTTCCAGAGCACCAGCCTCAGGCCTTCCAGGCCTTTGGCGACAGTGTGCAATTAGAGGGCCCCGGCCTACTACCTGCGGAAGCTCTTCTCTCCAGGTGTTCGGGAGCTGGGGTGGGAGCCAGGCAGCAGTCCATCTGTCTCCTGGCTATCCTTTTCCTCCTCCTGAAGAGATTCTTCTCCCAGGAAGTCCCCGTCATCCCAAGAGCCCACTGTACCATCTGTGGCCTGATACTGGACCTCCATGCATAGACTGGTCTGGAGGGAGAGAGGGGTGGTGAGCAGCTGGGGTGGCAATTGAGGTCCCAGTCCCAGATACCCTGTGGCATTTGGGAAACACTTTTATTCCCTGTGAAGACAGGTGAGACCCTTCACACTTCAGTTTTCCAGATGAGAAAATCAAGGTTAAGTAAGACTGATACATGTGGCTCTAGTCATCTCAGTGAGATCAGACTGCAGATCCTGCTGTATTCTTCCCAGGTACCCAAGGTCAGGGGCTACCCTGGACAGCTAGGTTGAGGCCTGAGGCTGGGATCTCTGAGTTCACTGTATACATAATTGATAGAATCATTCAATGTCCCCAAAGACAAAGTTACCTAAGGAGGTACCTTCTCAGATATTAGGCTAGGTATAGGCAAGCCCATCTGGCAATGTCATGAAACTAGCTGGACATGTCTCCCCAGAGAGGACCCAGTCCTGCACTCCCTCCAGCCATGGACAGTCAGTACTTCTTCCCATTCCTTGACACCCCACTTCCTAGCCTAGAGAGAAGAGGATCTTGGGGTTGCATTGAGCTTTTCCTCTGGAGAAAGTAGAGCTCCAAATCTGGGCCCAGCACCATGCAGAACCCTGGTAGAGGGACCATGCATACAAGGTACAGCGCCAATTTACACTTGGGCAAACTGAGGTAAGAGATGATCAGTCTTATTTTAGACATTATTGCGCTTTCTAAGCATGTTCTATGTATTCTCTTTGACCTCTCTGAACAATACTGTGAGGTAGATGCCACACATTTGCTCACTTTGCAGATGATTTGTGGATGTTTTAATAAAGAATCAAACCCAAGGGTCAGGCTCCTTATCACCATGCCAGCTTCCCATGACTGGCCACAGAGGAGCTGGAGGGGAACTGGGAGGCAGAAGCAGAGCCTGAGGGCTGGGAATCAAGGTTTTCTTTTGTTGGGACACACATTGAAGGTGGATTGTAATCACTATTTCATTTGTGGCCCAGCTGATTTGAGTAGAAATGGACAAATGGAGCAGAAAATGAGATCCTGGCCCTCCCTGGCTCTCTGACCTTACAGAAGAGTCACATCAGATGCACAGACTAGAGGCCATGACCCGGAGGGACAGGCAAGGCTCATCTTGGCCTTTGGATATGAGAGACAGAGACAACACTTATTCTTTCCCAAGCTGGATCCAAATGGAAGGGCACATGATGGAGAAGGGATGGCACCCCCATGACCTTCCTTACCACTGTTCCTTACCACTGTTATTGTAGGAAAGCCTGGTGTGTACGTGGGATAGAGCCAGCCATACTACAGGGGCTCCAGAACCAGCTATCACACAGTCAGCTCTGACAGAGCCTCCCTGATATCCTCCTCCCACCTCCCTTACCACTCATGAAAAACTCTTCTGTAGGGACAGGGTTGTACAGCAGACTCCCTGGTGATCCAGTGATGGGAAAGTCCAAAGACTTCTGACACACCCACCTTAATGATAGCATTGTTGTCATCGATCAGTGAGTCGGTCACCTCCACACGGTTCTCCTCCACTACCTTCTGTAGCACCATGCGGAAGGTCCCAATTAGCCTGTGAATGGCAGAGGGGCGTGGCCAGAGTGAGGAGTAAGGCTGATGTCCCTAGGGTAGTGGCTGACTGGCAAGGAGACAGGGAAACTTGTGAACATCTTAGGCTGGGACTGGCTATAGTAACCCAAGAACCAGGACTGGCCTGACTAGGACAGTATGTCTGTGAGGATAGTTTGATCCCTTATAAGTGGTTGTATATGTGGTATCGGTTTCCCTGGAAAACTGAAGAGGAGAGAGAACCCTATGTGATGTCCACACATTGGGACAGGGCAGGTGGAAAGGGGCTGCACTGGGCTTCCTGTAGAGTGCAGCTTCCAGATGCCATAATGGAGGGGAAGCTCTAAGGCTGCTGCTGATTTGTTTGTGTGTGGATATGATGATGGAGAGTGAACACAGGGCCTGGAGCATCCTAGGCAAATGCTTTACCACTGAAAAAGCATTTCATTCATCCCACATCTGCAACCCATAAGCTCCTGGTGAACAAGGACCTCTGTGACTGCAGAATCTCCTTATTTCATCTGTACAATGAGAACAAATATGCAGAGTTGGGCAGAGGACACAGTCTCAGTGTCAGAGACACTGGATCTGAAACTCAACTCTGATGCTTACCCAGAAGGCATCCACCTGGGAAACTCACCTCAGCTTCCTCAGCCTTGGCTTTCTTCTAAGCTAATGACCCCAACTTTGCCTCATGAATGGGATGGTCTGGTTAGGCTCTTATCAGGTCCTCAGCACACACTCTACCCCATGTTCCCATCATTGCGTATGCACCATGAGCTCTGCTGTGACTCTGCCTGTGACTTCTATGTCTAACCTCTATGTGCTATTTCTTGCACGCTAGAGGACCTCAACATCTGCTGGCTGAATGAATGAGCAGCAGTGGGTGCCCAATAAATGCTGACTTGGATCTCTCACCCAGAGGCTGGAAAGCTGTTGCTCTTGGAGAAAGCAGGGTGCTCAGACAGATGCCCTCACATGGTATATTTACCTGTACCCACAGAGAACACACACACTATTTCTATATAAGTGAAGAAGGCTTCAGGGCACACAAAGAGCATGAGGGCTGGAAAGGACCCTCGGGGTCATCTGTGCTGCCTGTGGTTTGTATAGGAGGAAGCTGGGTCCAAGAAAGGGAGCAGGAACACAGCTGATTAACGGCAAGTCTGAGTGAGATGACCTATCAGATGAATTCTGGAATAGACAGTTGTTGTTTATGTCATACTAAGGGATGAGGAAGATGAACACTGATTAAAAACAATCCTGGGGCTAGGAGATGACTCAGTGGGTAAAGTGCTTGCCATACAAGGATAAAAACCTGAGTTTGGTTTCCCAGCACTAATGTTTGAAAGAAGAATCTGGGAGCAGTGGCACTTGTCTACAATGCCAACACTCAGGGAGCAGAGACATGTGGGTCTTTAGAGCTCACTGGCCAGCCAGTCTCGTTGACTCAGTGAATGTCAGATTCGGTGAGAGATGCTATCTCAAGAAATGAGGTGGAGAGTGACAGAGGAAGACACCCAGAATCAATTTCTGACTTCCACATTCATACATAAACACAAAGACACACACACACCCCACACGCATGCAGATGTGCACATGCATGTATACTCACATGTCCATGCACACACATATACATGAAGACATATTTAAACCTCAAAACACACAAAATCTTCCCATTTATGTCAAGTGCACATGGTGGGACTGGTCATGTTGGATGAATATGAAGAGCTTGCCTCCAAGCTCAGAGCTTCAGGTTTCTAGACTCTTCTCAGAGCAACCCTGTGGAATCCCCTAGCCCCATCCCGGCTTCTCAGATGGGGAGATGCACAGAGGGATGCTCTGGGCTGGGGACTGGGAGATCCCAAGACATTGCTCCATACTCTTAGTTTTACCTTTATAAAGAGGTGGAGGCAACAATAGATGATGGCCACGAAAGAAGGAACTGGCCTTGTTGAAGCCTCACCTCTTTTGGTTCTAAATCAGGGGCTCTCAAATTTCAACAGGAATAGAATCCAGAGGAATCCCTTAACTCCACATGCACTGCCAATTTCCATAGGGCAAATACTCCCACCACAGCCAGTTTCAATATTCTAGCAGTGCAGTCCCTGATCTCAGCTACGTTTGCTCACTCTCCAGGCTTCCCCTTCAGGGGCTGATCAGCAGGTCAGAAAGGCCTGGGAATGTGCACTTCCTAGTGTCTAGTTCTTGCTGACGTAGCTGCTTGGGACACCCATTGAGAATCTCTGACCTACTCTGAGCCTTTGCTGATGGGCTCTTCGGGCCACTGCCACTCCACCAGGCACCTGTTGAATGTTGGAACTCAGGCACATCTGTCCTCATTCTTGGAGGTTCAAGAACAAAGAAGGTCCCTCTGATCTGCAGAGGTGCTGCAATGTGATGAGACACCCCCCAGGGGGCAGAAGGGAGCTATTCTCCTGCATGTACTCCAGAGCTTCTGAGGTCTTCTAGACTTCCTTTGCCTGAGAGTTTCAGAGCCTAGACTTGGGAGGGGCTTGAGAGGAGAGCTTGGCCTCCCAGAAATCCCTGAAATGACCTTCCTACCAGGCTTTCAATTTTCTTCCAAACATGCTGGCACAGTGACATCAGTATTGCATATTGCTCCCCTGCTAGTCCACTCATTGCTGCTTGTATCACACAGCAGTCTGAGAGTTTGGCTCCCTGGTAGATCCCCCGTTCCTTATTTCCTGGTCCAAGCTCTGTAAACTTGCAGTCTGACTGCTATCCAGGAATGGAGGAGGCTCTGGAGTCAGACCGAAGTGACTCATCCAGCAGTCCCTCAGGGGCATTTCTCTACCTAGCAGCTGTATGATCCTGCCTAGTTCTGCAATCTACGTCTTACTATGTTTTTCTCTCAAAAGAGTTGATGCCACCTACTTCCCTGGATGCTGGCATGGAGATACTCATGTGAAATTCTTTTTTTAAAATTTTATGTATATGAGTGTATTACCTGCATGTATGTGAGTGCACCCATGTTGTACAATGCTGCGGAGGTCAGAAGAGGGCTTCAAGATTCCCCTGGAACTGGAGTTAATGATGTTTCATAGCCACTATGTGGGTGCTGGGAATCAAACCCAGGTCCTCTGCAAGAGCAGTCAGTGCTCTTAACCACTAAGCGATCTCTCCAGCCCCTCATGTGAAACCCTTTAATGCTGCACCCCGCCCCCATCACGGCCTCTTTCCTCCCTGCTCTTGTGTGGGGCTTGCCTCTGGAGGGCCCAGCCAGGAGTGATTGCTTTTTGGAAGCTGTACCCTCTACCTTCCTCTGCACAGCCTCATAGAGCCAGGGCCTATTTTGACCAGGAGTGAGGTGAGGGTGGGACACTAGGCATTTGCACTCTCAAAAAAGAACTCGCCACACCTCCTGAGAGTGGCCCGAAGGGGTTTAATTAATAGCTCCTTTTTCCTCAAATAAACAATAAAAATAAATAATATTCTTTGAAATGGATAATTGATATTATCTCAGCAAAGAATGAATAAAATCCTTTTACAAAGCTTTGTGTTTCTTATGGGTACCATCTAAGCAAAACCAGGGTTCTTGCTTCAAAAACATAGATTTGAAACAGAAGCTCTCAGCTCGTCATCTATAGACATTCCCTGGGAAATGGATTGGGGGCAGGATAGGTCTGAAAGTCCCTATCTCTGACCTTTATGTCAACCCCATAATGACTCTGCCTACTTCAGCTGCCTTCGTGAAGCTTGGCTATAAACACAGCAGGGCTCACTTCTCTGGTAGGGGGGTGGTTAGAGGGGAGATCACCTAGGAGGGGTACATTGGGGTGACTGAGGAAGGGTGGGCTCATAGACCCCTTGCACAGCTGGGTTGTTCCAGTGATATGGAGGTGTGAAGGCATTTGTTCTTTGGTCCAGGGAGTGGAGACACGTGAGTCTTTAGAGGTCACTGACCAGCCAATCTAGCTGACTCAGTGAACATCATGTTCAGTGAGAGACACTATCAGGTGGTGTAATCCTCCTGAGGGACTGCTGAATGAGTCACAGCTGTCTGACTCCAGAGCCTCCTCCCTTCCAGGATTGCAAGTCCACAGAGCACTGGCCTAGTGTTACTGTCCTGACAAAGGAAATATATTCCAAAGAGACACTTGTGCCACTCCCTTTGACTGTCAGACTATTAAAACACGGTCCTCAAGATATTAGAATTCCTTCAGGAATCTCATACCAGGACAAAGAAAAGGCTGAAGCCCTAGTGCCATCCAGAGGAAAAACTTGTCCCCTAGAATGAAATTTTAAAAAATATTTTATTTATTATTTTTATTTTATGTGTATGACTGTATTGCTGCATGTATGTAAGTGCATCCATGTTGTGCAGTGCCAGTGGAGGTCAGAAGAGGGTGGCAGATCCCCTGGAACTGGAGTTATGGACAGTTGTTAGCTGCCATGTGGGTGCTGGCAATTGAACCCTGGTCTTCTGAAAGAGCAGTCTGTGCTCTTAACTGCTGAGGCATCTCTCCAGCCTCCCCTCCACCCATGCCCCAGAATGAAATTTTACAAAGTTTAAACCACTTGAAGAGCACCTTGCAGGACAGACTGGAACTGAGACAGTAACCAGTCAATGCTGGGCGGGGCCATACCTTCACCAGGACTACTTGGTTACTCATACCTGTTGCCTTCAACAGGTTTCTATTTAAACTTAACCCTGTGTCAGAATCCCAAAGATGGATTTGTGTGTGTGGGTCCACTGGACCTCTTATTTGTTCCTCTCCCCTGTGTGGCCACAATGAATAAATCTCCTTCCCTTTCTTTTCTCTATTACTTGTCTCTTTAATTGGCCTGCTGAGGACAGATGACTAAGCCTAGCTTGTTAGGGCTACCAGGATCCGGGCTCTGATCCTAACAACTCTGGAAACACTAGGGGTGAGGAAGTAGAAGTTGAAGTCCTGGCTTCTGAATCTGCTGGACAAATACTTTATCTGGGTCTCAGTTTCCCCCAGGCTGACCCCATATCCTCTGACAACACCCCTTATGTGGCCTGAGCAGCTTATCCATTACAAAGAGGGGACCCCTCATAGAGGCTCCACAGAGGATCCTGGGTGAGGCTAGGAGTCTCAGGCAACTGGCCAGCAGGGAAAAGGCCTCAGATACAGATGGGCCCACAGACTTACCACAACAGAGCAGCAACTAGGCACCAGAATCCTGTCAATAATTCATCACCTCCCTCTGGGAGCCGGTGTCAAGTGCCCTGAGCTTGGCCTGGCCTCCTTTGTGCTCCTGACTCTTGAATTATTCAGGGCCCCTGGCATCCTTGGTAGTAGGAACCATTGCCCCTTAAAGTCCTGAAGAGGCTGCAAAGGATGCATAAAGTCCCCTCATCCTGATATCATGTTTTAATGGTTCGAGAGAGGAGGCCCTGTTCTAAGTGGTAAAGCATACTTGGGGACCTAATGATGCCTGACCAGGATGGTTCCTGTCTTCTGGAAACCCCTAATACTATGGGATGGAGCCAAGTGGGCCTCTTCTTTGGCCTTGACTACATGATGTGAGGCCCTAACCCCACATGACTCCAAACACCCCACCCCCAAGTTGGCCTATGTTAGGATAGGCCTGTGTCTCCACAAAGGCACCTTTTCTCTCCATCCTAGATCCTAGCCAACAGTGGCTTGGACATTCTCTAGGTCCTCTTTTACCCCTATCTTCCTTCTCTTGGGTGAGGCAGGAAGGGAAGGTAAAGGGGAGAGGTAGGAAAGAGCCTCAGGTCCTCTGTCTTCCCTCTTCTTGGCACTTAAGAATACCTAATTTGGGACCGTAGCAATGTCTCAGCAGTTAAAAGCACCGGCTGCTCTTGCAGAGGACCCGGGTTCAGTTCCTAGGACCAACATCACAGCTAACAACCATCTATAACTCCAGTGCAGCGGGGTCCAGTGCCCTCCTCTGACCTCTGTCGACATTGCACACAGGTGGTGCACTTATATACATGCAGACAAAACACTCATATGCACAAAAATTTTTTTTAAAACCTTCCTAATTTGAGCCTTAACTTTTGGTATATTCACTATGTGATGGGCTGTCTCCCAAAAAATTTCCCAGATCCTTTGATTTATTTACAGCAGGAGTACTGATGTGTTCAGTGTTCAGACTTTTCTACATTTCTGTATCTGGTCCAGTAACTTCTGTTGTAAGCAATTTGGCAACCTCTTCCAGGTTCTGTTTCCTCCATTACTGTTCATTCTCTGGTTGCTGGGAGTTACAGAGGTTTAAAAGAGAAGGTGGAAGATATAGGTCTTAGCTCCAGCCTTTCCAGGGCCAACTCACATGACCTCCATATGCCTCTGAGACTGTTTCCCCTTTTGCACAGTGAGGGCTTTACTGCTGAGCCACAGGGCTCCTGGAGGCTCTGACATCTGTGGGCAAGAGATGGGATTCTTTGGTACCCTTCCTGCCTTCTGATTCTGTCTCTTCTCCACATCCACTTGGTCTGTGTTGGGCCCTCCTCTTGTTTCTGTTTCTTCTGTCCTCATAAGTCACAGGAGTATCTCACACCAAGGAAGAAGGCCATGCATTATTTTGGGGGCTCCTGGTGGGATGTTTTTCAATAACTTTTCTTATGGTACCAGAAGAAGCTGCCAGAGTGATGTGATCCCCTGAGAGGCAAAGAGGAGGCCTCTGTATCCTAAACATCTTTCCTGTGGTCCTGCCAGCAAGCCTGAAATTCCCTCTATAAGATGCCTACTCAGCTCACCTCTCCCAGTGGTGAGAGTTGACTGTCTCCTGATAGGGCAGAGGTTGGAGAGTTCTATCTTCTAGCTGCTTGCTCTCCTCGTAATGCAGTCTAGCCGTCATCTCCTCATGTGCCTCTCCTCTTCCCATGGCAGAAAATATCTTGAGGATGGGGCTGTGCCTTAATCTCTCATTTTAACACCTGATATGACTAGCATCATTTGCCTGGGTACATAATATTTACATAATAGATATTTAACAAATAACCAGAAAGGGAGGTGGAAGGTTGAAATGATAGATGGATGGAAGAGTAATGGAAGAGTAGATGGGTAGGTGAATGAATGAATGGACAGATGGATGAATGGATGAAAAGATGGATGGGGTGAATGGATGAGTAGATGGGTAGGTGAATGAATGAATGAGCAGGTGGATGAGTGGATGAATGGATGGGTGGGGTGAATGGATGAATAGACAGATGGGTGAATGGTTACTTCCTTTCAGGTTTGCATCTACTTGTCACAAGGCAAGGCTTAGAGTCTCTGCTCCGAGACAACCACAGGTGTTTCCGGAGTTCTTTGACATTTTGATTGTTAGCCTTAGCCTTTAACAGTTGTGCCATCTTTCCAGCCTAACCAGTGGTGTCCCTTATAACAAATATGAGAAGAGCAGATCCTTTGCCTCCCCTGCTTAGACAGCACTATTTCTTCTAACCTGACCCAGGATTAGGTCAGCTTTTTCGAATATACTTTCTTCTGACTGTTGAGTCCTGGAGGGCCTTCACTGAGCTAATACCTCTGCACCTATTTGGACATCCTGTGGTTCACCCATGACCTTCTCTAGCTTATAGAAGTCCAATTAATGTTTGACTCTAAGGCAGGATTTTCCATTTCTTATGTTTGGCCACCATCCTAGATCCTTTCAAATTCTGTTTGTTGCCCTGAGAGAGAAGAATGGAAACTACATTGGTTGAATTCTTTGTAGGATAACACCCATGGGGTGGGTACATTCCTTCACAGCAGGGGAGCGCTGCGAGGACAGGTACCTCTTTCTTCAGTACCTAGTTCAGTGCCTGATGTACAATAGGTGGCACTTCATGAACATTTGTTGAATGAATTAAACCATCTGCATTTCATTCTCACAGCTGCAGAGTCTTATATTTTAACCTATGAGGTCCTTGAACTCAGAGGGGTTATATAACCTGCCCAGGGTCACATACTAAATGACTAACCTGAGGGTCTAAGATAAGGCTTGCCTCTTAAACCACAGCACCAAACAGCCTCCATGAGGCAAGTAAGCCTCAGCACCACAGCTGTTCTGTAGAGGATGTGTGAGCATTCTCTTGTGACTTCTCTGATGTGCTGCTGACCCCCACCATGAATAAGGAGGAGCTTAGAGAAAGGGGCTTGAAGCTTTGTTGGGGTGGGGACAGAGGGATGGATGGGAGAGTGAGATGCTCTTGATTGACAATCATTGAGAGGACCAGAGTACTCTGAGACCCCATGAGGGAGAAGGAAGGGTAGCATGAGCCTAAGACTCCTTCAGTCCTCAAAGATGGATTCAGGGCAGGCTAGGGATACAGGGTTCTATTTTAAGTCCAAGAGAGGGTGGTCTGAGACTAGACCAGACCCCCAGTCCCACCCCACACTTACTTGTTGCTGAAGACTTTGCTGTAGTTGAAAACCTGAATCTCCAGCATCTCGTTTCTGTCAATGCTGCTGGCCACTGGCCACCGGAATGTCTGCAGGGAGAGACACAGCTGTGACATTTGATGGAAATAGTAGGAAGGGCCTGTGGACAGTGAGAGGAGCCCTCTTGACAGTCAGAGTGGTCCCTCACATGGGCCTGACTCCTCAGACAAAGCATCCACATGTGGGCTCTCATTCCATTCCAATGGCTGCCTTGTACGGTGGGTATTGCCACATTCCTCTTTCAAAAATGGTACTGAGAGACTTGGCAGGCTTCCAAGGTCACAGGGTAACTGGAGGATCTTAAATCCAACAAGGACTTCTGACTCCCAGCTATGTGCTGTTTACACTGTCTTCCAGCTCCTGGGAGGGTAGAGGAAGGGCACAGGCAGATGTGGGTGGGCACCAGGGCAACTGCAGATTTCGGGATGTGAGGATGGTTTCAGTATGAAGTAGGTAGAGTCCTGGCCTTCCAACTCTCTCCCATCAGTCATCTGGATCAGTCCAGGCTCTTCCCTGGACAATCTCCCTATTGTGACAGTGTGAACGTTGGTGACAGATTTTTCACTGTTTAATGTTATGAGAGTCAGACACATACACTGTGCCCAACTCACTGTTTCTAAATGCACACCCTTGAAGTCTTCCCTAAGCCAATAATAATGACAAACAGGAAATTCAGTGAGATTTTTCTCGATGCCCTAGAAGTAGCAACTAAGATCCAACACAAAGGTTCACAGGTGTCATTCTCCAGGGAAAGCCAATGATGGGCAGAATCAAGCACCTCCCTGGAGATTATTCAAGGCCCTGCCACCCTAGCCCTTGCTCAGCCTTTCATTTGGTGGGAACAGCAAAGAAAACTGGGGAAGGAAATGTAGAAAGACTTGGCTCCTAGATCTGGGTGTGATGTTTGTGGGACTTCCTGGAGAAATGATAGTGATCACACACCCTCAAGAAAGACAGTATGATATGCAAGCTCCCTGGATGGCTGGTCTGTTCCCTGATCCTGGTCTTGCAGGAGGCCCTGCCATCTCAGTGGGGCAGGGGCCTGGCTTTCCTCTGTTGGAGATAATAAGTTTATCTTCTGTGAGCCAAGTGGAACAAAGTCAGCCAAAGGACACTGTTTCCAAGAGTTGCCTGCCAAGGGAGGCTATAGAGCTGACCCCCAGTGGCAGGACTGGGGTGGGGTAAAGCCAAGGTTAGAGGCTGGTATCCATACCAGGACTCAGGTCCCTCACAGATCCCACCACATAGTATCTGTGAGGAAGCCTGTCTTTGCAAGCCTACTATACTGATGACACTCTGAGCTGGTCAGAACTTGGCAGAGACCTAGAATGAGATCACGTCCTTACCCTGTTGAATGAGAGGAGCACAGGAGGACCCATGCAGCGACCCATGTATGCTAGGTGAACACCCTACCGAGACACACTCTAGCTGGGCTGGACTTTGGAAGTAGAATAGGCTTCAAGACTGCTCAGCCTTGTTGAGCGATGATATCAGGGATCTCTGAAGATTAGATAGAAAGCAGTGACTTTACTTTTAGATTTCCTTTTTTTGTTCCCTACACAGTTTAGATCACCTAATAAACCAAGAATAAATAATAGGAGTGATAGTAATGACAGTTACTGTTTGTAAAGAATGTTACATTATGCAGGAGACTGAACTCTTTACATCAGTTAGTCTTTTTAATGCCCCAGGAGATTTTGGGTCTTCTCTGCTTCATAGACAGAGGAGCTATAGTTATGGGAAGTGAGGTAAGGCAGAGCTCTTTTGGTGACTGAGTGGGTGACACGCAAGGAAGGCTTCTGAGAGCCAACTCTGCAAGTCTGCCATTCCTCAGCTGGACTCCCTTCTCCTAGACTGGAGACTCCAAGAACTGGGGTTCACAGGGCCTTCCTGGCAGATGACTTCCCCTCCTGTCACCTCCCATTAGGACTGGTAAAGTCCTAAGGGAAACCTAATGTGGGCATGTGAAAGAGAAGGGCACAGAGGAGGGTTGGGCTCTGGGGATGGGTGGGGAGAGAGTCTTTGTGGGGAAGGTAGATGAGTTCCCCACATCCTTGGAATTAGGCAACCTGGCTGCCCAAAGGGCTCGTTCTGCCCCTTCAGCTCTTGATGCCTGCGGCAGCTCAGCTCAGCTCAGCTCAGCTCAGCTCCGAAGAGTGTGAGGGTTTTCTTAATGAAGATGCTTGGATGAAGCTGCAGGAAAATATAGATGATGCACAAGGCCCAACTAATTAACCATGAGTTGAGGGAGCGTGCTGAGGGTCTACCAAGACTGGATTCTTGGGATGGAGCAGGCAGAGTACTTGTTCCACCTGGGAACCTGACACTGGTAGAAGAAAAGGACTGGGAGAAATAAGAGGTTGCCCTAAAGTAGCATCTTCAGAGGGAGGACGTGTTGAACAGTGAATGAAAGGTTCAATTAGATGGATACAAGGTCGAGGGCACAGTTGGAAGTGATGGGTGGAGACAAGGGGATCCACAGAAAGAAGCTGCCAGCCTCTGCTTGTCCCTTGTTAGGGTGTGGTTCACTGGGTCACAACAGATGACAGGACATAAAGGCCAGTCCCAGCCAGCCTAGTGAGGGGCCTGAGCATGGAAGGCTATGGGGTGGATGACAACATCTGGAGGTCAGAGGAAGCATTTGCACGAAGGAGCCACACTAGGTAGGTATGAAGACAGAAATGCCAGGTGCACACCAGAGACCCAAGCCTTTCTTAGAGGCTTTCACTGTGAGATCCTCAGGGAGTTGCAGGGGCATGTCCTGTCTCTGACTTCTCTCCCCCATGTCCTTTTCTCTTGACTCCTTTCTATGCCTCCACTTTCACCCACACCACACTCCCCCTCCTCTCCCTTCCCTCCTGCTTTATTCCTGTCTTTTCTTCTCACTGAGTCCATTTTAGCCTGGGCCAGTTTCCCAGTCTCTGCCTCTTTCTGTTTCTGTCTCCATTTCTGTCTCCCTCTTTGTCTCTCTCTTCTGTCTCTGCTTCTCTTTCTCTGTATTGCTCTCTCTCTCTGCCTGTCTCTCTCTTTGTCTCTCTGTCTCTGCATTTCTCTGTCTCTGTCTCCCTATCTCAGTGGCTCTCTCTTCTATTTCCAGAAGCTTTTTGAGGCCCTTAGCCTCAAATACTGATTAAACTAGAATCTCCAGGCAGGGTCCAGGCACAGTGTGGTGCTTGCTCTGCCTCACCATGTGATACCCTCTGTGACACACCAGACACCAAGCAGGTGCTGGTGTAGTGCTCTTGGATTTCCCAATCTTTAAAACAGTAAGCCAAATAAATTTCTATTCTTTAGAAATTACCCTGTCTCAGCTAGTTTGTTATAGCATCAGAAAAGAGACAAAGACAAATATCTACCTCACAGAACTACTGGGAGAACCAAACAAACTCACACAGGTGATAGGATATTATAAGGGAAGAGAACACAGCACTGCAGAAATGAGTCATTAGTTGATCTGGCTTGTTCTTTCCGGGGTGGGGGGTTGCTCTGTCCCAGTGTCAGCAGCAAGTGAGTCTCCCCGCCCCTTCTCTGCCCCTCCCTCCCTCCCTCCCTCCCTCCCTCCCTCCCTCCCTCCCTCCCTCCCTCCCTCCCTCCCTCCCTCCCTCCGTCCCTCCCTTCTTCACACTTCATCTGTCTTGGCCTATCCATTTCTCATGGCTTTTTTGGCACCTCTTTGTCCTGATTTAATCTCTCTTGACTCATTTTTGCTGTCACTCTCTTTTTTGCCAGTGGGAGTGATACATGCACATGTGCAGAGAACACAGCAAGACAAGATGGGGTGGGGGAGCTTAGGGGTTAGGGACTCCCAGGAGCCATGATACACCATACCTCCCCAAGACAACATTATTTCACTTCTGAAGCATCTGACTGAAGGGAAAGGCTTCTGAAGGGAGGAGGCCTCTGAGGGGAGGGGGCTTCTGAGAGGAGGGGGCTTCTGAGGGGAGGGGGCCTCTCAGGGGAGGGGGACTCTGAAGGAAGGATGTTTCTGAGGGGAAGAGTCTTTTGAAGTGAGGAAGCCTCTGAAGGGAGAAGTTTTCTGAAGGGAGGGGCCTCTGAAGGGAGGGGACCCCTGAGGGAAGGTTTATATCTGGACAGCACTCTTCACAGCAGTGCTCTCTAGCAACACTCCAGCACCATGGCAAATCAGATGCTCTTTTGCTGAAAGGTGTGGGGGAGTAAGAGGTCCCCAGTAGCACACAGCAACACAAAAGATTTATTTATTGAGTGCTGACCTCCTGCCAGGCACTGGATAAACATTTGACACACATTATTCAATTTAATCTTTGATTTACAGATAAGGAAACTGAGACCCAGGTAGTAATATACCTTATTAATTAAGACTCAGACCGCCTGACTCAGTCCTGGCTCTGATGTTTAGCAGCTATATATAGTGATCTTGGATAAGTTACATCACCCCCTAGTGTCCTTATTTGTAGAATGGAGGTGATAACATCACCCAGCCTGGGCTCTGGCACAAGAGAAACACTGAAGAAGCCATGATGCCTCCATTAGCTGGGGTGCCTGCTGCCTCTGTGGCCAGCACTTTCTTTCCAAAGGGATGCTCAGCGGCCCCTTCACCCTTTTCCCACCTCTGACTTCCTTTCGTCCCTTCATAAGATAGAGTCTGTTTCCTCTCTCCTTGAGTCAAGGCTGGCCTTATGGCCACCTTTTACCAATGGAAAGTAACAGAAACAACACTGTGGCACCTAGGCCTGGAAGCTTCCATTTTTCACCATCTTAGAAGTCACTGGCATGCAAAGAAGTCCAGGCCATACTGCTGGAGAGAGACACATTGAGAAAGAGGCCCTGGAGAATGTGAGGCCATGAGGAGGAAACACAAAGGACCCTGATGACAGCCGACACCAAACCATCTCCAGCTGATGCAGTCACACTGTGCACATCCCAACCTCCCAGCTGTCATCCAGTCTCAGAATCAGAAACAACAGTAAAGTGCAGATGGTGTCAGTCATTGGGTTTAGGGTAGTTTGTTATACAGCAGTAGGTAACTGTGACATTATCCCATGTTATCTGTGATTCTCACTATCAGGTC